ACTGACTGACTGAAAGACTGAGTTTGTAGAAGATAATACATAGATAGAAGTCTTTGACAGTATAAAGTAAATTATATTAATTAGGTCTTTATTTTTAGATTGTTTAAAAAGTGCTGTGATAAAGTATTGTATTTTTTACTATTAAAACTTTTTTTTTACTGTTTTCATTGTTTTATAATGTAGCAATGTTATGAGTTATTTCTTAGGAGACCTTATTACATTATACAAAGAAGTACTGACTAAAAATAGTAGGAAATAATGAAAATAAAAGATTATGTCGAATATTTTTATAACTCTACGATCATAGATTGAAGACCTTAACTAACTGCACCATCAAGCTCCTCGATATTCTGTCTTTATAGTCCAAATTCAAAGTCATAGATTATTTAAAAACGATCCCGTCATTATCATTTTACGTCGGTCAGTAGTTATGAATGGCACAAGACTCGTGAACCGCAGTAGCGATGGCAAATTAGGTATATATGTCGCCCAAAACTTATCCACTAAAACACTTTTGAGTGGTAATTAAACTTTGCAAGTAAACTAAACACACTGGTCGTTATCTACATAGTTTCGCAGAGGCTCAAGACGTGATTGGATACATCACACGTAATATGTTTGACCATTGAAATGGGACACAAAAGATATAAACTATGTTATGTTTGAGTTGAAGTATCGTATCGAATAGCAAACACTAATGAAAGGAGAATGCCGATACTCTATACCACATTGCGTCACAGGTACATTAACAAAAAAATATAATATTTTTATTTATGCGTATGATGCATTGTTTTATAACCGCGTTAATAAATATCATAAAAATGACAATAAAATGATTTCATTACCTACTTTCGTAAAAAATCATATAAAAAAATAGTTATTTATGATACTGTTCAAATGGTTAGGTATATCAAATAATAAATACATTTAAGTTAAACTCTGGTTTTATTCTTAATAGCACACATTCTTTATAATACAACGCATGACATAACAGATTTTCAGGAAAACGGAAGTAAAAGTGAGGTGCACAGAATAGGTAGATTATATGAGGTTCTTCCCGACAATGATAGATGGCGCTACGTGTAACACATAAATATATGATTATAAATTTGCCTACAACAGATACTATTGTAGTAAGTTGGTTATTATAAACGAATAGACGACTACTTTGACTTCGCGGATTACTTTAACAGTTTTTAGGGCTACTTTGCCACGACGCAAAATCACTCGCACATCACTGGCAAAATCACCAGAACCACGTCGAAATAAAAAGTTAATACGCAAACCAAAACACTTTGACGTTACTTCAGACGAAGACGACTTGCCTTTGAGTGAATTGAAAGGTGCTAGGAATACAGCAGATGAAAATAAAGATGATGGAAAACTTTGCACTATTTGCAGATGTGACTACCGTCATTATCAACTGAAGAAGGCCTGAAAAGAGCCTGTGGTCATTGCAATGTAGGGACCAAAAAAAAGTCATATGAATGCCAACGATGTGAAGATCTGATATATTTGAGATTTTTTTAATGTTTAATCATAATTATGTTGATTTTATTGTAAAAATGTTAAATTGTTTTGTTAAATTGTTGCTGCTATTAATATTGTAAGAATAATAATACAAATAAATGACTGATTCTTTTTAACTGATTATTCGTTTTATTCTATAAATTAATCTATATATATTATAAAAACCATGTAAAATTGATATTTTTTATTTTATTTTAAAGGTGTCAAAGAACCCTGCACTAAAGTTATCATTGACTTTCAGGCAAATGTAATGATGTGTAAAAGGTTATTTTGACCCTATTTGAAATATATATATATAAAATTAATTCGGGGTCTTAGACTGCTAATAGCACACATCTCAAAGCCAAGACTTCATTGTTCTGATGAGGTACAAAAAGCTTGAATTACGAGCATATTTTTTCGTGTAATGTAGGAAAACTTCTAAAACTATGTCTAAGTAGCCCTAGTTTACGGTAGTCACGAGTTTGAACTAGTAAACTCATGAACAATGCATGCATACAACCTCTGTAAATGCATTTTTTTTAGCAAATATGTTAAAAAGCTTTTTTTCCAAATCTTTAACGTTCCGAATATAGTTGACAGATATTTTCGGTATTTGATAATGAACAAAAAAATCTTTTTCGTCTAGTTAGCTTCAGCTGCTGGAATACCAACAAGGAATTATATTGAATCATTTTATCTCTCAGTATACATTGTGTATCTTAGAATCTCAATATTTTAACATTTAGTACAAAGCGATTCGGAACACCGATTGTGAAACTGTACGTGTCAAATTGTCAATTTCAGTGGTTATAGAAGAGAGTATCTCGCCTCCAGCTGAGTGAAATATTAACAAATTTTTACTGTTATGTACCAATATAAAGAAACATTAAAAATACTTTTGGAGAAATATAAGCATTCAATAAAATGAAGAAAGAAACAAAGAATAAAATAAATAAAGATTTGGCTTAAAGGACAAAGTTACCAAACCAGACTCCGCCAAAAAAAATTAAGACTCGATGAAAAGCGTTTTGTTGTGTTGATGTTTGTATCGATCATTCTTATTTTGTGTTGCGTTTGAGTCGTTTTATGATATTTTTTTTCTCTTTATTTCCACATTAATTTACACAATTAATTAAATTTCACAGCAAAGGGAAACCACATTTTGCTGTCATTACCCGCTGCAAATGCCACATAAATATTTTTTTATCTATGTTTCACATTTGTCCGGTTACACAAAATATTATCATCATTACATCACTTGTAACCCATTCAATAGTAAAGGTACCATATAATTCCAACAACGTATACCACATATGTTTTGTATGAGGGCAGTTCATACTTAGGCAAATAAGATAGACTATGTAACTTGGAATTTCTTACTCTTGGTTTTAGGAGACATATTTTTCAATTTCGTCACAGTAAACATTTTATTTTTATCGTGGACAGGACATCTAATATTTAACAGTACTCAAATATATAATTGTAATTGACACTCCATTTCTTTTTAACAGAATTAGGTACAATTGTTTCCAATAATCTTAATTGCAATTTTTAGATATCATCTATATACGTTTTATATGTGTTCTACCATAACTACTGAGACCATATCCTATAACTGAATCTGCAAGTGTATTATATAATATTCTTAGAGTTTTGTATGGTAATTAATATTTCAGTAATGAAAGTTTGGAAAGAACTGCCCACAAGTCTGACATACATGAGGTTTCCAGCTAAGTATTTTACCTATAATTAGGCCTACGTACATATTTTGGAAAACAGATTCTAATTATTGGCAATTACACAAGTAGCATTTAAATTCTGTCGCCAAGCGATAATGTAAGCAATGATGGCTATGAGCAGAAATAGTCGGCTGTTTCCAATATTTAACATAGGGAGAGAGAATGAGTATGTATTTAGTTTTCTCAAAATTTATAACTAAGCCGATGTCGTGCGCCCATTTACATAAAAGATCAAACTTCGTCTGCATGATGTTTTGTGCCCTCGATATATCTCTAATGCCTTCAATAAACAAATGCATTGGCAAACTGGTTTATGGAACCTTCCCTAAATATATAACACAATCAAATTAATTCACTACGTCTATAATATCCACTGACAGTATTGAGATAATAACTCTTTTAATCGTGGCGTATCAAGATAGTGACTTTGAAGTGATAAAAAATATAATCGGGCTTCTCCTAACTTCATAAATATTTCGAAAATGTGGTTAAACTTTGACAAAATATTAAAGTAAAACTAAACTTATTAGAGTAAATTTAGTTTGATTCTAGTTGGCACGGATCTCTACCCTAAGTGACTGCAAACAACTTAGAATAAAATGGTATTTAGAAGGCGGTTAATTAAATAGAGCAACACTAATGGCGATGATTATGCTTATTCTCAAAGTTGTAGTAGTATCAAAGAGATTGTCATTAAGAACATACATCAATACAAATTGGTTTTATTGTCAATACTTCTTTGTTTACATTAAGTGTAAATTATAAAATTTAGGTCTAATGTCATTACCCGACATGAATCAGTAGAGTAGAAGGGTTGAGTCATTTCTGTGACGTCGACCGTATGAATGGGTTTTTACGTGCTTACTTCGAGAAATAGACTTAGTGACGAATTTGAAATGCAAGTGATGATTTCACTGCTTTGTTTCAACAATAATGATGAAATTCCAAGGAAGCATAATTTTAATATCTATTTGAGGAATAAAATGATAATTTGACGGAAAGATAACTCAAATCAATTGCACATTATTTGTGTAAACAAATTTTATCCATTCTTAATCAATGAGCTTACTTCTTTTTATGGAATCATAGTGTCTAAATTAATGTAAAATAATGACTTCGGGTACTGGCCATTGTTTATTTCTAATGTATTGTTGTTTTTCCAAAGTGATAATGAGGATAATCTCGATGAACTGTAACAGAATACAGGAGTGGTATGGTTTTGTTTCCGTGTGCTTCCATTTTACGGTTTTGTTGCTAATTCTACTTCAAAAAAACTCCATTGTGTATATCATACGAATAAATGAATGCCATGATGCATTAGAATCTCGTAAATCTTACATTAGCAAGTCGAGTACTGGAGCGCACCCATAGTACCAAACTAGCCGTAATAAGAAGTGTTTTTTTATCTCCAGCTATGCTTAGAAGATGCTAATAGTGTATTAACGAAGAAAATTACTAATAAAGAAGATGTAACTAACGTTCATGCTTCAAAATAAAATCTAACGCGAGTGAAGCCGCGGGCAAAAGCTAGTAATTGTAAATATATAGCGAATTTGATAAACGTATGGCTAACTAGATTTGTGAATACTTTTCTGGCTTCAAAATACGAGTAAGTAAAATATTTATCACTAAAGATAAGATTATTTTGTGATATACAAGCGAGTCGGTTCAGTTGTTTCTGTCGTTTCTTTCGAACAACCTATTTTTACTTTGTGTTTTTTTTTATTAATCGTACATTTAATTACACTAATGGGAATCTTTTGTAAAATAGGCGTTGTGGAAGAGAAAAATGAGTTCACCCCAGGAAGTGTTGTCAGTGGGGCTATCAAATACGCTTTCGATAAAAACACTGTTGTCAAAAAAATAGTTATATCATTAAAGGGCCGTGGTCATTTAAGAATGATTGAAGGTTCTGAAAAAAAGACATTTGCGAAGTCAGAAGAGTACGTTTCCATTGAGAATGTCATTTTGAATGATGTTGATGGAAAACACCTTGAAATTGGAGAATATGATACACCGTTTAATTTCATACTACCAGAAAACATCCCGGCGTCCCTAAATTACATAAATTATGGCAGTGATGAAATAAAATGCAAAATTGCTTACTTCATTAGAATAAAATTCGAGGTTGCAGGTTTTCTAAAATTTAACAAAAAATTCGAAAAAGAAATAAATGTTGTTTCCGTTCTGAAACCAAAGCTGTCAATGGAACCAGTGATATATGGCGAAAGGAAGCAGTTTTTCCAGCCCTTCAAATTGAAAAAAGGTTTTGTAAATGTAAAAGCCTGCATAAAATGCTCTGTGCTCGAACCTGGTGGCAAAGTAGAGATCGCTTATGAAGTTCTGAATGATTCTAATAAAATAGTTACAGCTATTGAAACTAAATTAGTGACCATTTACAAATTCTACTACACTGAAAAGGCAAATAAAAAAAGACTGGAAGATGTGGAGAACACTGAATCCAAGACATTAGCAATTAAACCTGGTGAAACATCAGAATCGTCTTTTGAAATAGAAATACCATTAGATTTGTATTGCATAGGAGATTCTAAACTAGTTTCTAGGGACTATTCTGTGGCTATAATAGCATGCCTGCCGACGCCTCATGTGGACGTGCGGCTTGAAATACCGATACAGGTGGGCAAGACATCTGTAGTACACCCTGTATCAAATATTGACGGCAGCTCCGTAGAACATGATTCACCACCGTCCTACTGGGAAGCAATGAACGTTGCAAATGAAAAGGGTGCTTTGTCTGACGACGGATTTGTTGAGTATGTGAAAAAGTGATTGTATTTTTAGGACGAATCTTGCCTTTGCTTTTATTTATATGTTATCATAAATTGATTTTTTTAAATTATCAACGAGATATACGACGGTGTTTAATATTTTTTAACAGGCTACAAACAAGGCTATATACAAAGTTATCTTGCTTTAATATATAAATATGTTGACGTACACGTGTAATCGATATTAAATAAGTGATGTACATTGTATAAACTATGTTATGTATATTCAGCCGGGCTATGAAAGTTTGGAAATCTGTAAAAAGGATACTCACCCTAGCCTCAACTATTGTTCTCGTTAACCAATTTATTGTTATTAATATTGTATTGTTTCTGTGGAAAATATTGGTTGCAGTAAAAAGGAAAGCAGATTTTTTATTGTTTTAGTATGTAAATAAATTATCAGCTCCTAAACTTGAGTCGTTCTTATTTGTATTAATTGCCCTAGTATAATGCATACTTTTAAATCGTATCGATTTAATCGTACGCTTTCACGCGTTAACCGCTGAACGGATCTGGATGAAATTGGGTTCAGTCAGCTTCATAAAAATCGAAGTCTTGACGACTGAACAAAATTATAGAAGAAACATAAATTCAATTTAATATGCGCTGTCAGATAATTTTATTGTTGTTACCGTCTTATTGTGTAAATAATTATGTCACTTATACAGGGTGTGACAAAAGTCCGAAATAAAACTTTAGGGTTTGGTTGTGTTCCTTGTATAGAATTACCTACGAAAGTTTGACGCCTTTCAGACCACTTTTATTTTCTAATTAAATTAATAAAAATATCGTTTTACACCTGCCTATGACAACCCTATAAATGCGTACGATTAGAACTACCTAAACAGACCCCCTCTCTCCCCGAGGCGCCCCTGCGCCCCGCTCAGATACCTACAAATTTTTATTTCGGAATACATACCTACAAATTTTATTTCGGAATTCTGTAGCACCCTGTATATTCGCGAATAACTGTTCAGTGGTATTCAGTTATAAAAAATATCTTGGTAGTAAAGAAAAGTAAACGCTTATCTGTAGTATTACGGTCCTTATCTTTTCATTTCGTAAATGAGATACCAAATGGCGACCTCGCTTGCGTCACCAAATATGCAGCTCCACCTTAATTCTTGAGAATTCATTGTACGCTAATGAAGGTGACAGCTCTTGGTCCCAATCTATTTTGGACTTCCAAGTTTCTTGGAAAATGGCCCTACCCTTTACAATTAGAGGCGTTAAGAAACCCAGTGGGTCATAGATTTGTATAAGATAAGCAAGAGCGAACAAGCAAGAGGAGCTCGATGGCGCGGGTGGTTAGCGCGCTCGGCTGCGATCGTTGAAGTTGAGCAACTTTCGCGGTGGTCTGTCATTGGATGGGTGAAAAAAAATCTTCTATCTCGAGTTCCTCCGTGCTTCGGACGGCACGTTAAGCCGTTGGTCCCGGCTGCATCTGCAGTCGTTAGCACCCGCCAATCCGCACTGGGCCCGCGTGGTGGGTCAAGGCCCAATCTCCCTATTCCATCCATCCTGGGGACATTAATAGGTGATGATGATGAAGCAAGAGCGAAACGCTTTGTTAATTTCAACGGTAGTACCTCTAACGATGAACACGTAAATTATAGTCAGCGTTGACATCCCAAGTGACACCTAAACTACGAACGTTCACTGCGGCGGCATCAGACGCACGCAGCTCTGGAGGGAGGAATGACAGTGCTTTGGCTCGGTTAGAAACCCAAGAACTCATTTCCAAACAAGCGTTGGCGTAAATTTTGATAGTGTCGGAAGCTAGTTGGGTAGCTTCGTCAACCGAGGCGACGCTGTCCAAATAGTCATCCATCTAATGACTCTTGATGATGGACTCCGCGGCGGCTGGTGAAAATGAACTATTTCCCTCAGCATTGCGATTTTTCAATGAGATAGCTGTAAAGGGACTAGATGTGGCCCCGAAAATCAGAGACGTCATCCGAATCTCTTGGATGGACTGTGAGTGATCGTCATGCTATAAAAACCTCTGAGTGTCACAATCTTCGACCCTTATCATAGTCTGAGGAAACATTTCGCGGATATCACCATTAAAGGCAACGACTCTCTCTCTGAATTTCATTTGAATACCTAAAAGAGGCTGCAGCAAATCGTAACCTGTTAAAAGAAGTGAGTTTAAACTCACGCCAGACGACGTTGCCGAAGCATCGTGTACTACACTAAGCTTTCGCTTCTGAGGGTGAAACACTCCAAAATAGGGCAGGTAATAAGTTATGCTGGCACTGTTTGGTAGCTTGGTACAGAGTTCCGTATAGCCCTTTTGAATCGTAGTACGAATGTTTTCACGGTAAGTGTCAGCATAAGCTTTGTCCTTTGTCATTTTCCTCTTTAAACTAATAAAACAAAAAACAGCAAGCTCACGACTATTCGCTTCGTTGTTAATATTTGCTTTCCACAAAAGGTCTGTCTCAAATCTACTGCTAGAAAGACGTCGGGTCTTTTGATTCAAAATGCCGATCGCTCGTTTATCGTCATTAGAATTGTAATCTCTTTTGGAAATTCCTATAGAATCGATGCGAAAATATTCGCTTAGTTGTCGATATAAAGAAGCATTTTCGTTTGTATCGCAATGATTAATAAACTAGCAAACCAGTGAACCAAATGTTCACCAAAACCTGATTTAAAAAAACATGTATATAATTAATTGAGAACTTCGGAGATTTTGTGTGGTTTCGTTTGAAATTCGTGATTTCTCGAAAACCGGAAGTGCTACGTTACTCAAATCCGGTTTGTAGTCTTATTAGACTATTCTTAACTTATAACTTAAATATTCTCTTTATCTATCTCTTACGGTTTGGCCGCTGAAACAGCACCACAGACAGACGGATGGACGGACGGACTTGTCTAATAGATAAGAGATTCAATCGGTGATGATTTCGGTTTAATGCGACCGAATAAAGCTAATGTACTGAAGGTACTTTTAGGTACAGAGACGTTCATTGGCGCTACCTTTAAAAAAGGGCGATGTGGAACCTCTGTTGTACAATAGGTGACGGCAGTACTATCCGCGGTGGTTAAGTCTGCGTTAGGGTCGCTATTCTCAACGTCGTTCACCTGATGCATTGCACTGTTGATGTGGGTCACGGTTGCAAAAGTTGCATCCCTGTGAAGTAACTTGTGGTGCGTACCTTTAATGAGACAATTTGTAATTTCGCATGAAAGCTTTTTACACATTTCTAAAAAACCTTTTTTTCGGTGATCCATTTCCATCTTTCATCGATGGTGGTCGCTGCAAAATATTTGCACGTAAAAATATTGTGGCCTACTTTTGAGCAAAACATGCAAGGCTTATTAGGTTCTTTGGGCAGTTGAGAGACCTAATAAGTTTGACAATTATTATGTCTCTCACATCCCGTTAAACCGGTTCAAAAAAATCGTATTTAGATTTTAAATTGGCCTCATGCATGAGAAACTCAGAGAGGAGTTCGAGGCGGAACTTTTTTACGGGGTCACTTTCGCACGAGAAGGCAATGTCTGCCTTCGGTAGGAAGTAGTAACTTTCCCTACGTTCCTGTCCCTCGTTGGACAATTCAGGGGAGACTAGATACTGTGACACACGCAGAGGAGACGCACTACCTCAATGTAATGCCGCACTATGCATGCGAAAGCATTTATCTCCCGCGCAGTCTCGTTGCGTGAGATCCTTGATAGTGCACGTACAGTAGCCAGTTCAGCAATGATGTTGCGTTTGGGCCTAGCAAATTGAATTAATGCTGAAATATAGGCCTTGCTTAGTTCAGCAGCAGAGGCTAATAAATTATATTTTCTGTATAACTAGTGCTAAGTTTGTTACGAAATCTTATTGTACTGATTTTCTGGTCAATAAATCTTATTATTATTAAACTCGACCTCGAGTGCGCGCATCACCTCCTCAGGGTTACACGCAGCAGCCAGCAGAGCAGCTACAGCACCACGAGCCGCCCTCTTAGAGCAGCGCTAATCCTGGCTAAGTTCTCTGCCGCCAAGCAGGTGGCGCTGGTAGTAACGTAGACTCTCCTGAAATCAAGCCAGTCCGTTAGTTTGCATTCAACAAAGGAAGGCTAACGAAACCTACCTTCGGAAGTGTAGTAGTAGCAGCCGCAATTTCGGCGACTTCTTCGGCTAGCCGTAACGTATCAATTTCTTTACACGTCGTCCCAACGTGTGGCGCATGCGCGGTGGTAAAGGAGCTACCATATTGTGGCGCAAATGCATTTAAAGAAGCTCTGAAATAGGGAAGATGCATATAACGGGTGGGCCATGTAAAATTTTAAACTTAAAAAGTCAATAAAAAAAAAACGGCGCGATATTTTTCAAAGGTCTAACATTTATTTGAAAGGTTGTTTTATGAAATTCATTTGTGGAAAACAATTTCGGACAAATGACCACCACGGCTGAGTTTACAGTAGCTTATCCGATCCACCCAATTTTGGAGTACTTTCTCGATGGTTTCAGGCCTTATGGCAGCAACAGCAGCTTGAATCTCGTACTTTAGATCTTGAATTGTTTCTGGATGGTTGGCGTAACATTTACCTTTAACAGCTCCCCACAGAAAATAGTCCAACGGAGTTAAATCGCAGCTTCTGGGAGGCCAATTCACATCACCTCTTTTGCTGATTATGCGATTTTCGAAGATAGGGCGTAAAAGATTGAGTGTAGCGTTTGCTGTATGGCACGTAGCGCCGTCCTGCTGGAACCAAATGTTGTCCAAGTCTTCCTCTTCAATTTGCTTGAAGAAAAATTTGGATAACATTGCGCGATATCGCTCACCATTGATGGTTACGGCGGTTCCTTCTTCATTTTCGAAGAAAAATGGGCCGATGATTCCACCAGACCAAAATCCGCACCATACAGTGACTCGTGCTGGGTGCATTGGCTTCTCAACGATTACGTGCGGGTTTTCTGTGCCCCAAATGCGACAATTCTGCTTGTTAACGTAACCACCGAGGTGGAAATGAGCCTCGTCCGAAAAGATGATTTTTCGGT